GGAGACTCAGACTGCCCTGGGGGAGGCCGCGCTCCCCAAGAGGCCTCAGTGACTCACCAGGTGTGGAGCGTGGCCCTGTGGGTGGGGGGCTGGAGTCTCCAGAGGGTCCTGCAAGGAGCACAGGAGGCGGGTGAGGGGCTGGGGCCGTCCATGGAGTGCACCCTTCCGCTCCCACTCTCCTGCATCCGCCCAGTGGATCCCCGGAACCATTTCTCTGCCCACCTGGTACCTTCTGCATGCCAGGCAAGGAGAATGGGTGGCCATGCCTAGGAGAAGCTCTGTTGGCCTCCTCCCCTCTCAGGGCTGCGTCCCCTCTGGCTAAACCGCCCTCACTCCATCCCAGCTGAGATCTCCGGGGGCCGGGCCTGAGCTGAACCTTTGAGCTCAGAGGGGACAGGATCAGGGTCCTCACCTGAGACCACGAGCTCCAGGGGGTCACTGGGGACAGACAGCAGGTGGGGGTTGGAGCTGTGTGAGCTGTAGCACCTGTAGGTCCCCGCGTGGGCTGAGGTTACAGGACCCATGGGGAATTCAGCCTGGTGCTGCTGAGCCTGGTGCTCTGATCTCAGACGCAGCAGGGGATGGGCTGCCCCCTCCTTGGTCAGAAGGAAAGTGTGGAACTGTCCCCATGACTGACACAGCAGGGTCACGTTCTCTCCTGAGGCCACCGTGGGGCCCGGCTGCACCGAGAGGGAAACCGTGTCATAGAAGTGTCCTGGAGAGAAGAAGGATGGGTGAGGGGCTCCCACCTTGTTCTGAGCTGACACCTCCCCAGGCCTCTCTCTGGGACCCTCGGTCTCTCTGTCTCTGTTTTCTCTGAGTCTCCCCCTCCCCCTATCCCCTGTCTCTGTCTCTCCCTCCATTGGTGCCCCCGCCCCTCATCCCGGCCATCACCACCTTGGCTCCGCTGGCAGGGCCTGTGCAGAGCCTGGGTCCCTGACTGAACCCGCTGGGCTCCTCACCTGCGATCAGGATGTCCAGGGGGTCACTGGGGGCCGACCACTCGGAGGAGAGGTTGTGTGCACCGTAGCATCTGTACTGGCCCCCGTGGGAGCCCCTCACAGGGCTCAGGGTGAAGTTGGCCTGGGAGAACCCAGCCTGGGGCTGCTGACCAGGGCGCTGGAGGAAGTCACGTTCCCCCTCCTTGTACAGAGCAAATCTGTCATAGCCGACGTTAGAGCCACACTGCAGGATCAAGGTCTCTCCAGGGACCACGACAGGGCCCTGCAGGGTCAGGAGGGAGGGCTTCCTAGACACGCCTGGAGGGAAAGAGGAGCCGGGACTCAGAGAGCTGGTTCCTCCCACGCCTGTTCCTTCTCCCGTCCTGGCCCTGCGGGTCTCACTGTCTCTCACTCTGAGTCTCTGACCCCCGGGCCTCCTTCTCACCCGGGCTGTCTTGGAGTCATTTCCGAGGAGTGGGGTCTCCCTAGCCCTGGCCCCTGTGCCTGATC